GCAAAAAAAAGAATGAGAGGAAACTAGGATACTGAAAAGAAAGGTAAAAGATAGATAGAGAAGATAAAAAAGAGAAGTGAAAAGTAAAAGATAGATAGAGAAGATAAAAAAGAGAAGCAAAACAGTACGAGAACTAGAAAAGTCTCCTTTCAGCAGTCAAGCACCTGTTCGTTGTTCAGTCAAGGCCAAGCATCTGAAAACTGTGTTCAAGAATGAAAAAAAGAATGAGAGGAAGCTAGGAGACTAAAATGAAAGGTAAAAGATAGATAGAGAAGATAAAAAAGAGAAGTGAAAAAAAGAATGAGAGGAAGCTAGGAGACTAAAATGAAAGGTAAAAGATAGATAGAGAAGATAAAAAAGAGAAGCAAACGAATACGTCGCTGAAGTGTAGGGCAGTTCGCTGCGGACGGTGGGGCGTGTCAGGCAGGATGAGTTTGGCACGGTGCCAAACCCGTTCTCCACCAGCTGTTAAAGCGAGCAAGTGACAAGACTGTATCATGTCGTTCGTATCACTCGTTTCCCAACAACTGTTGTCGCGTAACTGCTTCAACAACTGGCAGAGGGTTTTTCACCGTGGCACACTCATACTAACTGACGCGCCCCACCGTCCGCAGCGAACTGCTCTATAGCAGTGGTCCATTCAGTTTTGGCACTGTAGTGTGATCGAGTCAGATACGCGTAGAAAGCGATTGCTCGTACGACCGATTGCGTCCTTCGCGCGACCGAAACGCTGCCGTCGCGAAGTCTGTACACTGCTTCAGAGACAACTGTCATCCTATCTTGTGCTGGAGAAAGACATGATTACAAGTATCCTAAGGCACCAAACATCCCACTAATGGCGCATCCGGTACTATGTTGGAATGAACCCCATAGCCATGCCCTCCCCATCCAGCCATGGAGTATAACTGGATTGGTGTTGTTCTCTTCTGGTGTAAGCCTAACTCCTCGATTAGCTTGGTTTTTTGCTCGGAAGCACAGAGTGTACGTGGTTGTAGCCGTCGGTTTTGATGTCTTTGATTCTCTTGAAAACCGATGAGCTGGACAAAATGGCAGGACTTCGATGGACCAATGGTAGATTTTGGTACCTGCCAAGATGTTTTGCTTCTGAGTTTTGATGTGTTGCTGGGATTTTTGTCAGTCCATCTTTGTTGTACTCGTCGGGTGTGTTGTGTTCTGCAGATTCAGCGTTTCCAGTAGACGCCTCTATCACGCAGATGTCATCTTCTGTACTGCACTAATTCTGGTGTGATAATCGACCCTTGATGAATATGAAGTTTGTACTTAATTGTGTGATCACGTGATTAAGTGCATCACAAACGGCGAATAACGAGATGTGTGCTTCATGGCGTACGCCTTGCGACTGGTTCATGCTCCCATTGCTGCTTATTCGTTAGAACTACGTCTAAAACGATTTTTTATTATTCTGCTTCTCAGGCGATACTCCACGAGATTCACCTACCCTCAACAGGAGTCGTGATGCCCTAGGACCATCACCATCGACTTCGAATCACAGTTTGGATAAACTCGCTCTGAACGGAGGAGAATCTGTCTCTTCAATCACATTCATTCACTCGTACTCGCGTCGAAATGGTAAGTAGTTTTGTGGCCGTCTGTGAGGTGTGCAGGTCTCTAGCAGTAGAAATCCGAAAGTGCCTGGTTCTGGAGCTACGGCAGGGCACATCATTAGGTTGGGGATTTTAGTCGAGTCTGTACGAACCCCCCTTTTTTGGGAGTTGGTTATCCCTCCTAGGCCCTGTCCTTCCTCCATCGATCGAACCGTCGAGCCGGGGGGGGGGGGGGGGGGGCAGGGAAGGGGTATATCGCTCCATGAAAACAGGAAAATCACCAAAAGTCAACAACCACTCCTACAACGCCAAAACGTAAATACGACCCCTCCCCTCCCCAAAAATGACCAAGTACGACCCCCCCTCCCTTTTACAGCGTCCTTAAAGCGAGAAAAATCAGTACCAGACAGCGAATTTTTCAAGCCCACACCCCTCCCCCCTATAATGGATTCCCCAACAACGTTGTGCCCTGAGCTACGGGCATGTGGTAACTTGATGTTACATATGTCTCTCCCCCCATTTGATACGAGGATTCGCACCTTGAGTCAACACCATTATGTCCAGCCGTAAGTGTTATAATCCAACATTAGTGTTGATTAATAACAGGCGTATGGCTGGCCGATTGTGGCGAATTATGACGATGTACCAAGGCTGTCGTATTATGTATCCAAGAGTATAGAGCACGTAGAACAGCGTAGCTGTTTCAAGCAGGGACAACATCGATTGTTGTGCGGAAAACGCGACGGGGTAGTATTTGGGGAAGAGGAAAGGGGCGAGGGGGAGATCCTATTTGCGCCTAAAAAAGGTCTCAAAACCGATTTTTTTCTCTTTCAGTGCACTCACTGCTCTCTCCTTCGATTAAAGGCGAAATTTCGGGACATTGGTCTAGCAGCGTATGTAAGTAAGTTATGAAGGTAAAGTACCCCGCGATCAAAATGCGGGGGGGGGCTCATACTGATGGTGCCATTTGACCCATCCCTATGATTGCACTGGCCGCAAGCCTCTAGCTCAAGACATGCCCTGCCTTCATGATGTCCCCGAGGGAGATGTTGTCGCGTTGTCGGTCATAAGGAGCGGTCTCTTACTTGCCCTTGAAAAGGGTTTCAATTGATAGAGTTTTACTGAATTTACCCCGTTTCAAAGTGCACCTATATATTCACCGCTTTGTTCCTCAGGAAGTTTTCGGTTCAAATTTCGGGAAACCAGTGGAAAGCTGGGGAAGATGGTGCTTAGGATGAGGAAGGGGGCGCACCAAAGGAGGAAATTTGATAATAAAATTCTTGGGAATTCAATGAATAACAGTACATGCCCCGCTCTAACTTTACGCCGCGCTTTCTGGAATGGCATAAGTGCTACAGTTATGCAGACTTGCTCACCTCGCGCATGTAAAGGATCGACCTCTCAGGTGATCTGTCTTCAATCGCTGAACATTCAGATAATCGAACTGCCCCGTGCCTGTGGGTCGGTACGAGCGCTGGAACTTCAATCGCATTGAATCTGATTCTTCCACAGGATCGCCTGGTTTCCACGGTCGTCGTGGCACCTTCAGGTTTCTTTTAAGTTTTCTCATTTCACTCATCTCGTTACCAGTCATTATATCAGAACACCACTTATAAGTATTGCGTGTCTATTTCAGCTTTTGATGACAGTAAGTCAAACAAAGCCACATTAGGCGTCTGCATTTTCACAAGCGTTTGTTACACCATATGTGTTATTGTTCTGCTTTCCGTTGTTCATAGCAAGTTACTGTAGCTGAAATAGCAAGTTACTGTAGCTCAAAAATGTCTAGAGATCTCTCTGTGTAGAGAGTTCTCTCATTTGCGTTGCGCCTCCTCGTGATCCTAGCGAGAAAATCGTCGCAACTGCCTCTAGTTTTGTTCACGAAAGCACATGTGGTACTGTCACATGAAAAACTGCTTTTTGAATATTTTCACCCTTTTCTATCCCTGTTTTTCTATCCTTTCCCTTATTTGGCTGGCTTTGCTATCAGTGCTTTTTTCAGCTTTCATCCTATCCTTATTCATTTCCTTTTTTCCTTTCAATGTAGAGCTTACCTATACGTTCAGCTCCAGTGAAAGTGTTCGGAACAGCCAAGGGTATGTGTTGTGCATGTGTTGCTTTATTCAAAAGAAAGGAAAGCGAAGTTTCGAAATGGCTTAGAAGTTTCTGCATGTGAAATTGATGGTGGCAGTCATATGTTTGTGATTCATTGCAGCGATGGTTCGCTGTCAGTTCCATAAGTAAAGATCCTGATCAGTGTGAAAGAGCGGATACGTTCTGTGGTTCTGCATTCGTTCATAAGGGGGGGGGGGTCTAGGTGCCCATAGATCTGAGAAGCAAAAGAGCAGAGCACAGTTGAGGATCCAGAACCAGTAAAGCGGGTCGTATTGGAGCGGCTAGAGAGTAGGATCCAGTTTGGTTCGCTGAATAGGTTCCCCTGATGCGAAAAGTTTAAGGCATCCTTTGAAAAAATCTAGGGTCAAATGTTTAATTGCTTCTGCCAAACGAGGTATGTGAGATGAAACCTTCTTAATTGGCCTGTACGCCTGCCTTCTCTCTTCTCCCAGAGGCCATGAAAATAACCTCGACTTTCATATTTTTAACCAACCCACCAACGTCTCCTCACTTTTTAGCATTCGCTCGTTTTTCCGAACGCTTCCAATAAGTGCTAACCAATCTCAATCGCGATAATCCTCACAGTGGCGGAGCTTAATCACGCTGTGTATCGGTAGACCACTCATCAAATTGAGTCTCATCTGATTGTAATTGTCGCAATAGCGTCGAAATTGTCGTAGCGCACGTAGTCCTTATTGTAGCTCGCACTCTGATACAAACTATGATACCCCCTAGGATCAATCCAGAGACGGCCAATGCTTGGCCCGACACAATCCTACTGCCCTTCGGGGCCAGATTACTTGGTATCAGATTCGCTTCGAGAGGTTGCGGCAGACATGACCTGCGCATGGCTCTGCAGTTTGTTCGCATAGGATAAATGATGGGTTAATAGAATTGTTTCTTCGCGTCATCTGGTGCTAAATATGCTGACAACGAATAAAAAAAAAAACAAAAAAACCGTGTAGAAAAGGATCTCGTAACAGGAAACAACATGCGAGTCTGTCTTGTCGCTAAATTGGGTTTCAGAACCGCTAAGCGATGAAATATAGCACCAATTTCCTTGTCTCATTGGTGGCGTCTCACCTTGCAAGGTAGATTGCTTCTGATTGCATGTGCTCCTCATGAAAAAACGTAGTTTATGACGGCCGTTCCACCAAACAACGACTGGGCGCCGAGGAGGTTTCTATGGGCGGCACAATGACGGAGGCGTCGTGACTGTCCACTTAGGAGCGGCAATCGCCCCCGTAATACGATGAGACAGCCGCGAAAAAGGTACAATCTCAGGGCATGGCGTACCACCACTTCTCTGAAAGCGCAAGAACGTCATATAATCTGGTTTGAGCGCGCGGATTGCCTTCAGGAGCGAAGCTGGCAGCTATGAACACATCTTGCTTTCCTCTACATATTGTAATCGTTTCGGGTCAAGTGTTACCGCAGACTCGGATCAGGTTCGCTATGGCCAGCGCAAGCATATGACATCCATTTCATTAGCTTGTAGTGTTATTTCAAAGATTTTGAATGTGGTAATCTCGTGTTCAACAAGATTTGTACGCAGTTCCTTAATCGGGGCAGCGAGAGGCGTAGCTGCGAAGTGTCGACGTTAGGTATCGCATGAGAGATGTTGCATGAAATACGGCGTCTGGCCTCTGCTGCCCTCGATCGTTCGCAATACATTCATGTGATTGTCCTCGTAAAAGCATCTGTGAGCCCAAAAATACGTCGCTTGCTGCAGACCAGAGTGTGTCGGAGGGCTGTCTTTGGCGTGGCGAACCTGCTCTCCGCAGTTTTGAAAGCGTCGCAATTGGGGAAAAGAGTGGCGCCGAGCCGAACCCGGCCCCATGGCAGATTCCAATGTTCCAGCGAAAGCGACTATAATAGTTTTGTTGTATCGTCTTTTACAAAGGTAAATGCTGCGTTAGCGTAGAAAAAAAGCGTAGCCGTGTTGCGACGTTTTGTGGGAGCATTTCCACGCTAATCTTGATAGCCGTTATTTGGGAATTATTGAAGAAACTCTTTGAATTGTGTTCATAAGGCATCGGATTTGCGTGGCTGTGCTGTGAATCAGTTCAATTCAGAAATGCAAAGACACGTGACTTCCTCACGTTATCGTTTCGTCTTTTTCCAGGCACAATTGTCAAGCTGAGAGGGCAAGTGCTTTATCAAACATTTATGGATCAATCGTTTTGCCTCCTGTCTGGCGCCACTGAATCGTATAGGGAAACTAGCAAAGAAAGCAGGGACTCAGGAAGCCCTGAGAAGAATATTACTAACCGAGTGAGTGGCTTTTTTTGTTTTCTTTTGCGAAGTCATTGTGATCAACTGCTCGCAGCGCGCACGATTTGAAGACAAACTGTACATTCACCTCCGTGATTCTTGGTCCTTGCCATGTGAGGGTAAATGGGTCCGCAGCGACAGCAGCATGCCATCTTTTTCTCTATGAAGTGCACAAGGGTAGGGCTGTAGGGTCGTGGTATCTGAGCGTCATGTTCATACTCCGCCCGCGCTGTTCTCAAAGGCAGTTGGCACGATAATATGGTACTCGGCCTAAACTGCTAGCAGGGCGCTATATAAAAGGAAAATGGCGAAAAAACGAAGTGAAACGGTCGAAAACTGCGAAGAAAAGCCTTCGTTCTTGAAAAGCAATTTCGGACGAGTTTCCCGTAGGCACAACCGCTGTGGTAGGTCGGCTGCATGTATGTACTCATATATCCATGCAGCACCGCAGCCGCTTCATACCAATCCTTCGCTTTTTACTCGCAAATGAAGCAATACGAGCATCAGGTACGGTCGTCCATTTGTGGGCGGGCGGGCGTGGTGGGCGTTCGGGTCGGTATGTTGTAGTTTGATAGGACCCTTATAAGGGTACCTTCCCTGGAAAAGGCGTTACGCAGCGCCTGCTTAGGGTCGCGAATTCTGTCCTGCCAGGCGCATTGACCCTACTCGTTTTTGGGGATTTACCGGGCCAACTGCCTTTGAGGTGCAGCACTTGCGCATGTACAGAAAAAGTATGTGCTAAGCCCATTCTAGCCCATTTGCGATTTTTGCCTCCCGAAGCTATTGAACGCGAGTGATGGTCAGGAGATCCGAACTTGCGGCAAAGGGAGAAACTATATTGACGCGTTCGCGTTGAAACGTCACATGCAATACCTATCTTGTAGGCCCTATGGTCGCCAAAGCCGTTAGCTCGCATTTCCAGTTATGTCCCTTGGGAACCTAAGTTGAAATTTCATGGCTTCTAAAAATGACAGTGTATTACTAACCCTATAATGAAACTTTTTTTAACTAGTGCAAAATTGTTGTCGAAGTAATAGTGAGGCCAGACTTTTATGAAGGTTGTCAACTGGGAATGGTGATTTGGGTTGTAGCGTATGTGCCGGAGTTCCAGATGAGGCTGTTAAATGAAAGTACAGATGGGCTTGAGACAGGTTAATTGACAACTTCTACCTCTGGGGCCCCTGTGGAGACACAACCCGGAGTTTTTTCGCTGTGTAGGTGCAGTGGGCAACTAAGACTACGCCAGTTGACTTCCAGTCAAGAAAAGAGAGAACCTAATCAGAACCGTTTTAAAGGGGCCCCAGGATTGGACAGGTATTCCGAATAGCGAGACACTGCTGTGTGGGCGAGAAACTGCAGATAAAGGGTGGCATAACTAGGAAGACGACAGAGACCCCGGGTTTGTCTCCCACACAGGATGAAAGCAGTGCGTTGTCGCGTGTTTCGAAGATACAGAACGCGCTGACATTCCTCGTCGCAAGAGTATGCAACTTCTAGGGTGGAATAAAAACGCTCAATGACAATGGGATCCTCGACACTCTTCAAGGCCACGAAAGTGGAACAGCCTCAACATATTCTGGCGCGGAATTTTGTACTGGGAAAGAATTTTTTACCGCTCTAGGTAAGTGCGGTATGTGCGACACCGAGAATGACCTCGGACTGTACATGGAAATGTGGTCAAAATATTTTTGAACTAGTCTCTTTTGTTAACTGATGGAAAGCCGTAGCAAGCTACAGTATATTGTATGGAGCCAGTGAACAATGTATTATCCCCCAACAGGAGTCTGCTCCAGTTGACCAAACTCAGTGGTTCGGACTGGATCCGGTCCCGAACTTTGATCGCTGGGCCCTGCACGTGGTAAACGGTTTGCCCGTCAGAAGGCGTTTTTTTTGTTAAAATCATAGCTTCAGTGGCATTTGAATGGAGCTTTCGAGCCAAACAAGCAGGCCAACTAGCCCTTTGAGAGAACTCGGCTAGGGTTGAAATAGGGGTCATTTATGTAGGAGAGCGTCTATGGATGAATCAAGGAAATCTACTATTTTTTTAGGTACTAACGAAGTCAAGCTTATCTCCCACATACTCCACTTCAATAGATGAAGATATTCCACAGGTAGTTCGTTACTGTAATATTTTTGAGTAGTTCAATAGTATCAGAGCTCCTTGATTGCTTATAAGATTTGATTTCGTTATGGAGAAGTACTTTAGATTCTTATCGCTGTTGCTGAGTTTGAAGTAAAAGTGATAGCACTACCTTCGTTCAGTCAGCTGTTCGCTCACAAATGCGAGGAAATACCTCTGGTCAAGGTAATGAGGGTTTTTAACCCCTCTGCTGCAACCTCTGTCAGTCACTTGAATTTTTTTGCAGGCTCAAGCTACGCATGTGCGAGGGTACCCGGTTCTGATGTGTCTGGCAGCTGATGGAAAGGTATTTGATTAATTTGATTCTAGTAGATCTCACTAAGGGCACGTCGTAGTTAGAGATCGCCAGCGAGAGAGGGGAGGGAGGGGAGGGGGGGGGTTGTATTCGCTTTTGAGGAGGATGTTTTCGGTTGTTGACTTTTCTTGGATTACCTGTTTCACTGGCGGTTATATCTGTTCTTCACCTTAGGGACTCTTTGGGGAAAAGTGGAGGAGTTTCCGGGGAAAGTTTCGGAAAAGTGGTGGTAGTCGGAGAAATAAAGGAAAATGGAGCTGGGAGAAAGGGGGGGGGGGGTATCCACAAAATTTTTC